AATGTAAATATTTGAGCCATAAATTTAATTTCTGATCTAAATTGTTCAAATATTAAAATTAAAAAAAAAATAATTACCTGTCAAAAACGCATAATTACATTTAAATAATTTATGATAGCTTGTCGAGTTTATAGAAATTGGATGGTTTGTTGAAGAAAATATACGTAAAATGTGATCGCATTATGTGTTATTGATTTTGGTTAATTATGATTTGATAACTGATCAATACTATTCATAAATATTCATTAAGCTTGTTAAATATAAGTATGAATGCTTAAAATCCTATACAAAATTATCATTAATTTAAAATTCCGATGATCATGTTGATCAGCTTATTTATAAGATAATAATATAAACTCATACATTTCTGTAATTAAAATTCTTTTTTTTTTTTTTTTTTTTTTTTTTTAATGCATTTTACAAAAGGTAAGTGCAATTTGCATTTAAAATATAAATAACAACATTAATCTGCTTTTTCATCGCTTGCGCCGATTATGTGTAACTAGTGTTTTTCAATTTATGAAGTTTAAAAGTTAAACAACTCGCGCGAAGATCCATAAATTGTAATTTAAATTAGATTCGTATTTTATCGTATATAATGTTATATACTACGACAATCGGCATTATGATTAAATTCATTTAATTCATGCACACAATAATTGTGTAATGTCTTCTGTATTATTTTCATACATAAATATTGTATACCTGCTCGTTTTTTCTGTATATAAGTTTAGTTTGTTGGATTTTTAGTGTTCTCGCTAATATAATATGGAAGTACCTAACCCTGCACATATATTTTTATCCTATTGAAAATATTTAAGACAATACATACATGGCCAAATATTTAAATTATTGATTTTATACAGAAATTATTAGCTCGTATGAAGTTTAAACCTCCAGGCCGCTATTGTTACTCATTACTTGACCAATTAATTTAAGTATAGTCATACAAATAAATGTAACACCACATTTCGCTGCTATTTATAAATTGTTATTTCTTTAATATAATGTGTGAAATCTTTAGAGGTAGGTCAAATGAGAAAATGTATAGGTACTTAGAATACATATGGCCATATTTGGCGGAAGAATAGTCTCCAAGCTTTAAGCAATTTAATAGTATACATTAAAGTAATCCTTAAAACTTAGGCAATCGTCTGTATCAGTGCGTCCTAAGGCCATCATCAGATAGGTTGGTAACAAGAATTAATAATGTACCTACCGGAAATAATTGATAAATTTATTTTACAATCGTAACAATGGCACAGGTCTAATCGTGTTTTAACTGTGGTAAATAGCGAATTATAAACTGCACTAATAGAGCATATTAATATTTGTATGATTGGTCTTTTATATAGTAGTCTTGCGTGCGTCGCATACGGTTGGATCATTTTTCATTTGTGTCTACGGTGAAATTACAATACACGACGTGTATTACCCATATTATTGTAATGTAATGATATATATGACATTTTAACATATATCGTTTCTGCCTCGCGATTTCGATATCCTCGCGACACCTCTCTCCGGTCACAGTTTTCGACCGATTCGCAACAGGTATCACAATACGCTATTAGATGTCCTCGCGATCTAAAGATTCCAAAACAACGCCCACGCATTCGTATGATAATAATTATTAATAATATATAGCCGACAGTTGACCGCGTACCTTGGTCGTGTATCGCAATATTTATTATTTGTTCGACAATACCGTCTGCCGTTAATATTATTATCATTCTTCCACACATCAGGTGTACCTATTATATTTGGTGCCCACACGCGTTTTACACGTATTGTCGTTGTCAATCGTTCTCTTCTCTATATTATACTATCATGTCATTTGTACAATATACATCACTCCCCTTTTGAGAACACGCACACAGCAATTATTGTACTGAATTTCAAAGCAATGCGCTACAATCAGCCGACGATGCCTGCTGTTACTGAAGCTACAACCACGACTACTACTGCAGCGGCGTGGGTAAAACAATTCCACGGTGTCAAACATTCACGCGACGGTATATATATATATTATATTCGGTCGTTTTGTAATAATAATAGTTTTTTTTTTTTTAATTATCTCTCGTGTTATAATTGCGCAATTAAAACAGACGTTCGGTTAATTATATTACTGTATTGTACGTAAGCGAACGTCGATGCATTAGGTAGGTAACGTACTGAACGAATACGTTCGGTCAGTCGTTTTTTTTTTGACTGCAGACAAAGTTTTCATTTTTTTTTTTTTTGTGATAAGAAACAATATAATTTATGCGTAACAGTCTAAAACAAATTGTTCTCGCGGTAAAGTCGTCGTCAAAGTGTCGCGTGTTTATTTTGGCAATATATTATATACTTTTATGTTTATACATATATATATATATTTTACCTGTAAACGTGTATTATAAATGAGTAAGTTTTTTAGTCGCTCGTGTGTGTACACTTAAGTAAACCTTACAGTAGACTAGACGGGACGAGTAATACAGTTTGCCAAGGGTGCTTTTAGGATTATTAGACCACTAGGCTATAACTGCAGCTGGCATACCAAATCATTTTGGCTGTAGCATTGTTTCATTGGCACATACGTGTAAAGTCATTAAAGTCTATTTTAAATTTCTTTCGTGAAAATATTTTGTTTAGTACGTAGGTATAGGTATAGTCAATATTATGTAATAGCGTGTCCGACGAAAATATTTTTAAACTACTGTAGAAAAATATTAAAAAAATATAATATAATATAGGCACAGCCTGTGACCATAGAAGAACATATTATTTTAATATTATATTATCATTTTGTACATCGTATAAACCTATAATCATGATTTATACAATTATCCTCATGCATAATATATACACCCTAAATACACTATAAAGATATGCTTAGCGCAGTATATATTATTTTCTTCGAATGATTACCTTTATACATGGGTTTCGTTTTCCCTTTCGTTTTCTACCTGTCAGTTGTATAATATTACGTTTTTATTCTTCATAATATATATATCATAGTCAGTCTTTACACGTAAAGCCGTCAGCCGTAATTTCGCACACGAAATGTTTGCCATTCAACTCAAAACATATTTATATCTACATAGGTATGTCAGCTGTATGACATCCGAACGTTTTCGGATCAAACGCACACTTGAATTTTCGCAGCTCTGTTCGGGTTATATGTGCCCCTCGTGTGTCTCGTTTAAGACTTCTACCCTTATCGTCAGATGCAGACGATCGTAAGTATCCGATTTCATCAAAACGCTATATATTTCGTATATTATTCACGAGGGGACCACAAGCAATAATTATAACGGCGCTGCAAGTATTATAATACATTATGTTATCGCAGCGAGTGTGTGTGTGTGTAATATAATAATATGTAGCGTATATAATATTATAATTACGGCGAGGCAGACGGTTTTTATACGATGGCAAATAATTATTATTATACCCACACCGTTTAATCGATAGATTTGGGTGTGTTTCGTCGTTTGAGTAGGTACTATAATATAAGCATATACCTACCTATATATATATATATATATGTGCGAGTGTATATACAAACCTACGCCGCTACGAAAATCCTTTGAAATGACATGGTGGGCGTCGACGAACAGACTATATACCGGCAATAATAATAATAATATTAATATTGGAGGGACTGCTGCAGTGTTTGTCGGGTAGTTACGTCCTGAACAAACTTCGTACCGCCGAACTCAACAACCGCCGTTTAAGTGTTTTAATGCTATATACATATATTATCGTAAAATGCTTTGACGTTATAATAATATATCGATTCGATTTAATTCAGTATAAACCAGCTACTACTGTTCGGCAGATCCTCCTGCGGCGGTGGCGGCGGCGTAGTTATAACTGGGTGGGAGGAGGGTCTAACTTGTACAGAAGTTTCAGTCTCCCCTCCGGAGTCTGCAGGACGTCAAATCATTTTTCAGCGCTTTCGATTGCCGTCTGCACTCTCACTACCCTCTGCAGTAGACGAAAGTTGGCTTAAGACCTATATATTATTGCGGCATGTAACATCGTGTGCTGTGCAGAGGATGTATAACCATAATATTATGTTTGGAATAAATTATTATATGGAATGAGCACGTGATGGTGTATACATCGAGATGCAAAACGTTTGGATGCATAAAAACGCGGTGACCGGTTTTCCAGAAATCCCGTTTTTCGCACAGACGTAGCCACTGTCTTCGCCCATCATCATTATAATAATATCCAGATATCCTTAACCCGATGAATATTTTACGAACGTCTGAGTTGTCGAAAAAATTATCGTGTGTTATGACTGTTTTTTTCATCGTAATTTACTCGGCATTAATTTTATCGCCCAAACGTGCGTGTTGCGCAATGTTTTTGTTGTGTTATACTCTTTTATCGTTGTACTGCAGTTTTTTTTTTGCCCATTCTTCCCGGCAGCCCTATCTATGCTGCAGCTGATAGAGTCGTTTATCTGCATACAACGACAAATCCAGTGAGATTATGCGAAAAAATAATAACTGCGTGCACAGTCGTGCTCGGCGAGCAATTGATACAACCCGCTCGTCGGTGTGTGCATATTATTATATAATTGAAAAAGTGCATATTAATTCGAATTGTACGCATGTGGTGTGAGTGGCCGGAAAACGGTTAACCGGCATAATATATTATGCATAATATTATATTGTCGTGTGCGGTGCAAGTGTGCAACGGAATACGGCGCACTGTCAATGCATTAATATTTAATACTGTTGAGATATTATTACATAACGTAATATGTGCGTTTCTAAATATATATTTATTATTAATATTTTTTTTGTACAGCATTAATATCATTGCCCCCCAATGAGTAAAATAAGATATATATAGGTACAACTGAGAACGCAAACGCAAGTCCCGTTTGTTTGACAGATTTTCTTGTTTTTCGCCATCCCTGTGTGTTGTGTTATATGCAACTTTATGTATTCAATATTGTATTGCTTGTGTTTTTAACTAACTTTTTGTGCGTTGATTTGCAGACGACTCGCCCACAGATGACCGGTGCAGGAGACGGTCCCGATTGCTGTCCGAGGGCGAAGTGGTGCTACTCGAGTCGGTCGCCCATCACGGTAAACGGTTACCCAACGGCCGATTTCTTACCATGCACAAGCGTAGGCGGAAAAAGCTCACCACCCGATCCTTGTCCAACGAGAATGCGCCGGCGTTATTGGACGACATTCACCACGGCCAAGTCCAGGTTAGAATGTTGATCAAGTATTAATAAGTTATGTAACAATATTATAATATCGATTTGATTATTATTATTTCAACGGTGCGTAATGAATGTTTCTAACGTGTTAGATATTTATAATAACGATATGCATGTATTACAAGTGTATTGTGTCATTGTTGTATGCTCTGCAGAAATGGTTATGATCGTTTGGAGTTAAAATGTTTTTTTTTTTATATTATACCACCGAGGTATAGCATACCTACATATTATAGAGACTTATAATAAATATCTACTTCGGCAATGGGTATGCATAATAATATAATTAATATGTTCAAGTATTTTTATAATATTATAGGTACATTTGGAAATAACCACGGAGGTATTTAATATTTTAAGACATTTTTTTCAAATTTGTTTATTTTTTAATTAAAATATATAATTATGTTTATATTAACCTCTGAAATTTTAAAATATTATTGATCTTTATGATATATTATTTTATTTTATTTAAATTCACTTTTATAAATTACCTAGGGTATAAATTTTGCTATACGTGCATAGTAAGTCTTTAGATAAACTTAGCGTATAGCTTACACAATTTAAAATAATTATATTATTATCAATTTTATTAAACAATATAATTTTTTAGAGTTTCATTAAAAAATACTAAGCGTGTAAACAATAATCATGTTTTGGGTTCAACCAGGAATCATATATATTTTGTTAACGAGTGGTTTTTATTTATTACAACAAATTTAAATGTATATTTCTACTCAAAGAACCTATATTTATTTAATTGAGGTTACTAACGTGGATACAAATTAACGTCTACTCGTAATTAATAATTACTATACTACGCTACATAAAGCCATAAAGGATCGATTTTAATTAAAAAAACGAACAACTTACAGTACTTGTGTAATACAATTAACATGGATAACATATAGGTAATAATCATTGTACAAATATTATGTATGTGTGTACTCTACATAGTAGTCGACTTTTTCAAAATTTTAATTTTACTATAAAATATATAATATTATTATATTATTCTGTATGAATATTCATATAAGTATGTTATCATATTTTTGAACAAAAATTTTCGTTAAGTATTAACAACTTGTAATTTATATTATGTCAAATAAAAATATCGAAATAAAAAGTACAAGGATGATAATAATATGATTGTGTCATATCCAAGTGTAATAAAAATATCTGAATATTTAATTAGTTAACAAAATGTATGTCAGCGTTACGTTATGGTACAAAATTTAACCCTTCCACAATATTGTACAGATCATGAAAGTGAAGTACAAATAGATAAATATTACTTAATACAAATATATGGAATAAAATATAACCTATTATACCATTCGATTTAACATACGCGTTCCACTCTCTATATATACTCCTACCAGTTTAAATGATCGGACTTATTTTTTTGTTTTAAATATAATACAATTAGTATTAATAACGTGTGTACATTTATTACACGATGATTGCTAGATATTTTTGAATAATTTGGTATCATTATAATATTTTGACGTCAATCGTATAAGTGATCTATAATATGTATGACTAATCGACCAAGTCTCGTGTAACGCTATTTCTATTTTATTGACGTCAACACTCAACAATATATAATATTATAAATATATAATGATTTAAAATACTAGATGAATATAAATTTGTTCACAAATGTGCAAGTATGTTATAATTTTTTATAACCATTGGATTATTACAGGCCATACATAATACACTCAATATTAAAATTGTGAGCAATGTTTTTTAAAAAAATCCATTAATTTAGACATCCAGACAGGTTTAATATCCAAATAGCGAAGGTTTAAAAGATTCCTGTAGGTACTATTTTTGAATACACGCCTTTAAAAAGAACGACTTAAAAGTTTAAATTTATTGTGATGCATATCATGCCGTCCGAGATTTGTGTAATATTTCGTTAACTTAATATCATATTAAACGTGTCGATTAAAAATTTTAATTAAAATATTTTGTGAAAAATACGTTTACAAAATAGTACAGAAACAGACTTTAAATTTATAGGCTGTAAAATGTCTGTTTAATTAAATGTAGGATTTGGTATTTGATTATGTTGTTGCGTACCTATTATGTACCTACTATACCTACATTGTGTAAAAATATTTTATCTCTGTAATAATTACATGCAATAACATTCAGTTAACATAATTTATTCTAAATATCGTTTGCCTATGGATTTCTGTAGATCAATAGTTTTAATAACTTCTCCGGGTTTCGTTTATATAGGTCATTGGACTATATAAGTTATTGGGAACGCCCAAAGGAGTTCTCGTGATTTTCTGTCAATTCCGTACGGATCAAAGGAATTTGTTCGCCCTTTGATGTTCGTGCTATAATCCAATATTGCTTCGATTCAAAGCCCCAACTGTCTTCTCCTGTCCCACAGTAAGAGATTATGGTGCCCTTTGAGGATGAAACCGCCCTGGAGGCTTGTTTACCGACGATTTGATTTCGGAGCACTAAATATATGTATTTTGACGACCGCGATAATAGAATTTATGCGTAAAATAATATAGTCGTCCATTGTTTAGGTAAGCTGTATACACAAACCGTATCACTTAAAAAATATTTTATTACTTACCTATTTATTTATTTAACGGCCGTGATGCCCAGTATTACAGTTTTAACACTAATGTATACAATAGTTAACAGAAATACAAAATCTTAATTTACTAGGTAATAAAAATAATTAATTAGGTATATTATATAATTTATAAATTTCAGTGTCTAATAAGAAGCTAAATATTAACTATAAATTAGATGGCAGATGTTGCATTATTTTTAAATGTCTCTGGCAAAGGATCAGCAGATTTTATATTAATTTTTTTATGCTGATAGATCCATTTCAACGATATCAATACTAATAGTATAATAACCTACATTATATTCCCATGAATGAATATATGAAGATAGTATCACAGGAAGTCTGTTGGACGACAGAAAAATATATAAATATTATGCTAAAATATGATGAGAAAAGTCCCAGAAATAGTTTTTTCATCACAGTCAATAATACTTTGAATATCGTTGCTATAGAAGCATTATTCTTTCGTACAAAGTCCGAAAAAAACGAGGATAACAGTTCATTGTTTTTAATAGGAAATATTCATACTATTTATTAGAACCTATTACGAACCCATCCTCATAATCCCGAGGACAACGTGACATTTTATATTGGGCATGAGCTCTTTTATTTTTTCAAAGACTAGAGATACTTAAAGGACCACCGGGAAAATGTTGAAGATGTGTAATTATTGTTGGGAACACAATTAAAAATACAAAAATCTATCATTATATAAAGTGCATTATACCTGAAGACTCAACATCAACGTACGTTACAGTCTCCAACTAATTTAACATATGTCAAAAACGTACAAAATATCAATATAGCATCCTTGTCAATTAAAATAAAAACAAAACATTTAAGCAAACTTTAATTCCACATAAATAATGACATTAGAATAATCGAACAATCTTTACCCGTGTGTGTGTTTCATTGGTGATGTTTGTATAGGACAGGGGTGGTCAAACTTATTTTGATTAATATCTACTGAGGGTATATTTTTTCTTTTAGGATCGACTAATGTAAAAAATAATTTAATATTAGTAATAAACATACTTATATAAATAATAAAATTAAAGTGTTAAGTTATCTAAAATGAATGTTTCATGTTAAATTTTTAAGTAATTTTAAAATGTATTAACATTTTACTGTTGATGTAGAAGCGTGTCATTGCACATCATGACCAAGCGAAGACGCTGTGCTAAAGTCTAAAACTAACCTACTCAACTTCTATAAATTATAAATTTCATGTGAGAAATTGCCATTTCACACTAACAGGTTAATCCGAAACATATGAATTTAATAAGTGTATCTACTAAATTGCAAATATATAAGAATAATTAAAAAATTTTCTAACAATGGGGATCGACTTAGAAATCGTCCAAGATCGACCAGTCGATCGCGATCGACTGTTTGGCCACCCTTGGTATAGGATAACACTGTAATTTGATTAAATTTGCAAGATGAAACTGCAATGCTTTTTTATAAGATAATAAACTGGACATGACGCAGTATATGCGTTTTGCGATATGATCACCCCACTAATGTATACGTATTCGTAATAAAATCGTTTGGAAAAAAATATTACATAATATAATATTAATAGTATATACATATTTCATGTGTAGGTATGTCAAAAAAGATATTCAAAATAATATTTTATACCTTCGAGTGGTTCCCAATAGATACCTTGTGGCGGGAACGGTGTGACGTTTTCTATACAATAACCCGTGGTGCGTATTTCAATGTATAAATCGTCCAAAATAAGGTTTCCAAAATATATTTAAAAATCAGTTTAGCCACTCGCTACAGTATATTATGAAAAAATAAACTAATTTTTAGTTATTAATACCTAATAATAAATTAGTAAATAATAAATATCATGATGAAATAATAACCAATACATTTAATTCGTCATGATAAATCTCTTCTATGTTCTATATGAAATGTTTAAACCATATTTAATTTTAACATTTAATATAGTTGATATTACATTACAAATTACGATAGTTTTTTAAATATAATATATAATTTTCAGACCTCTGTTTTTGTGAAATCGTGACGGTCGCCGATGGCCAAGATGAACTGGACGAGTTATACCAACATAATATATTACAATATTTTATCCCCCAATAGACGATGATAATATCTTATTTGGTTCGTTTATTCGAATTCAGTTAGTACCTACCATCTAAAATACGACGTAGGTATTATGTCATGAATGTAGTTCGACACAATAATTTGGATGAATGTTCTCGACACGAGGTACCTTAATATGACGTTGTTTATCAGCCATTTTGCCGTGTGTTAACCCTTCGCCCGTCTCGTACACGCCACTGACGGGTAGAGTGCTCCGTCTCATTATCCCGTTCGATATCAGCCGGTGTATTATATTCTATAA